ATCTTTTAAGGAATAATTTGGAAAGAGTTCCTCAAGAAATTTCCATATGGTGTAAGCACACTTAAGAGTAGGCAAACATCAAATCAAGTTTCTAGGCAAGCCTCTAGTGATAAGATTAACAGTTCTAAGGTTGCAGATCATGTCAATAGACTCATCAAGGGTAGGATGCAAAGGATCAACATGAGGTGCACAAGGGCTAGCAACGTACTTGTTCAAATGATATTCATTGAAAATCTCAAGCATTTCATTTTTCCACTCATGAAAATATTCTCCATCAAGAATAGGCACTCTATGTCTAAGAATCCCCGAAGTAGACTCAAACATCTTTCTCCAATGGTGTTTAAACCAAGGCAATGGAGACCAAAGCTCTGATACCAATTGAAAAGATCGAGAAGAGGTGTCTAGAGGGGGGTGATTAGACACTAGATGCTAAAAGTTGCAGTTTTTAAATTCTTTAGGTTGAAGTGGATTTTTGGCACAAGTTTAACAAACACAATACATATCAAGAAAGCATGCAAAGAGAATATGAGCAGCGGAAAGTAAAGCATGCAACTTGTAAGAATGTAAAGAGAAGGGTTTGGAAGATTCAAACGCAATTGAAGACAAGGATGTTTTTGTCGTGGTTCCGATAGGTGGTGCTATCGTACATCCACGTTGATGGAGACTTCAACCCACGAAGGGTAACGGTTGCGCGAGTCCATGGAGGGCTCCACTCACGAAGGGTCCATGAAGAAGCAACCTTGTCTATCCCACCATGGCCATCGCCCACGAAGGACTTGCCTCACTAGCGGTAGATCTTCACGAAGTAGGCGATCCCCTTGCCCTTACAAACTCCTTGATTCAACTCCACAATCTTGTCGGAGGCTCCCAAGTGACACCTAGCCAATCTAGGAGACACCACTCTCCAAGAAGTAACAAATGGTGTGTTGATGATGAACTCCTTGCTCTTGTGCTTTAAATGATAGTCTCCCCAACACTCAATTCTCTCTCACAGGATATGAATTTGGTGGAAAGAAGATTTGAGTGGAAAGCAACTTGGCAAGGCTAGAGATCAAGATTCATATGGTAGGAATGGAATATCTTGGTCTCAACACAAGTGTAGGTGGTTCTCTCTCGGAAAATATAGGTTGGAAGTGTAGGTTTGTTCTGATGGCTCTCTCCATGAATGAAGAGGAGGTGGAGGGGTATATATAGCCTCCACACAAAATCTAACCGTTACACATAACTTTCCAAACTCGATGGGACCGAATGATTAAACTTGGTCGGACCGATTCAGCAAAGCTAGTGGCCGTTAGGGTTTTCGGTGGGACCGACATGCAACTCGGTAGGACCGATATGATTAGGGTTAGGGCATAACATAATCTCAGTGAGATCGACTACACAAACCCGATGAGACCGATTTTGGTAATAAGCTAACCAGAGAGTTGGTCAGGTAAACTCGGTGGGACCGATCGCTCATTTTGGTGAGACCGAAATGTTACAAAAGGGAACCAGAGAGTTTACATTGCAATTTCGGTGGGACCAATCGCAAGTTTGGTGAGACCGAAAGAATTGCAATAGGCAATAGAGAGTTTGCAATCCCATCTCGGTGAGACCGAGATCCCTATCGGTGAGACCGATTTGCCTAGGGTTTGTGGCAGTGGCTATGACATTTGAAACTTGGTGGCGCCGGATAGGAAGAATCGGTGGGGCTGAGTTTGACTTTTGGTTTAGGTCATATGTGGATGTGAGAAAGTAGTTGAGGGTTTGGAGCATATCACTAAGCATTTTGAGCAAGAACCTCATTAAGCAACACCTCATCCCTCCTTGATAGTATTGGCTTTTCCTATAGACTCAATGTGATCTTGGATCACTAAAATGGAAAATGTAGAGTCTTGAGCTTTGAGGTTGAGCCAATCCTTTGTCCTTAGCATCTTGAAGGGGTTTCACATCCTCTAGTCCATGCCACTTCACTGTTGAATTTATCTGAAACATACTAGATAAAAATGTTAGTCCAACAAGAGATATGTTGACATTAATTACCAAACCACCTAGGGAGCACTTGTGCTTTCAGGGGTGCCCCGACACCTAGCAGGGGAAGGGGAACGCTCGATATGACGCAATGCCGACGGCAGGCGCACTTGTCCATCGGACGGCGAGGGGCTCTATCGCCTGGTGCAGTCCCGCACTAGGTGGCCATGGCCCTTGCAACGGACGCACAACGTCTGCTCCAGCACTTAGCCGAGATATGGCCCTCATCTCCATAATTGTAGCAGCACCCATGAAGGACTGTCAGGATGCGTATCTTCGGCGACTTCTTGGTAGGGAGTGGTCCACGGGTGAGCGGCGGCACGACAGGGATGGAGGGGTCCGGAACTCCTGCCTGATTTGGTCTGCCAGGCCGAAGGGCCAGCCACTGGGGGGCATGGAGGACCGCCGACACTACCTTGGATGATGGGGCCGAACACAAACCCAAGGCCGTCCGGGACAATGATGGTAGACCGGAGGGGTGGCCGAGGTGGGAGGAGGTGACCTCGAGGACGGCGAATCCCCCCTCCCCCCTCCCGAGGGAGAGACCCTGGAGGCCATGGAGGGAAGGGGCTTGAGGATATGTATTGGCAGCAGCGGCTCATTGCTGTGCTCCCGCAATGATTCACGAGTACGCTTGCATCCTGGAGGTCGGGAATGGCGTCGCCAGCAACTGTGCTCTTCATTAACCCCTCAAGATCTGAGATGCACGTCGCCATCACATTGCTTGATTTCTTCCAGACGGTCTTTGGTCTGCGAATGAGCTAGGCGAAGAGCGCTGCCACATCGATCACATGCACAGGGGAACTGGTCGAGGGAGGCAGTCGTGGAAATGGCATGCCCGACTAAGGTTTTCCCAATCACATACCTCGGGATCCCTCTCTCTGATGCAAGACTGTGAAGGGAGGACTTGCAACCAATTCTTGACTGCCTTGCGAAGAGATTACGGGGATGGAAAGCCAAGCTGATTGCGTTGCCTGCTGAATCAAGTTGGTCAAGACAGTGCTTTCAGCGATGGCTATCTACTGGATCATGGCGACCACGCCACCAATATGGTTCCTTAAAATGATAATAAGTTGCGACGTGGATTCCTTTGGGCGGCGTACGAGTCATCTTCGACCGGCAAGTACCTTGTTAGCTGGAAGGAGGTCTGAAGACCGCGAGAGTTTGGCGGCCTGGATGTGCATGACCAACAACGCCAAGGAGCCGCGTTGCGCGCCCGATGGTAGTGGACACGCTGGACCGATGACTCCAGGCCATGGCGAGAGTTGGTGCTGCCTCACGATCTGGCGGCCGATTGTATATTCCAAGCATCGACGGAGATAATCGTTGGCGACAGGAGGAAGACTAGTTTCTAGCGCTCGCACTAGGCGCACGGATGTCAGCCAGGAGACCGGTGGCCAAAGCTCTTCGCGCACTACAACGGACGCCGGCTCACACTCCGGACAACGCTTGAGGACAATGCTTGGTTGAGCCATGTTAAGCCAAAGCCCAACGCAGCAGCGCTCCACCAGCTATGCGAGCTTTGACAGTTGGCTGTGGGCATCACGCTCCGCAAGGGAACGCCGGACAACTTGCGCTAGAGGTGGACAACAGATGGCAAGTACACCACGGCTTCGACCTACCACAAAATGTTCCAAGGAGCCATCCCGACCAACGACAAGGAAATCATCTGGTCGACCAAGGTGGCACCGCGCGCCAAATCCTTCGCCTGAATCTTGCTGCGGGGAAAATGCCTGACGGCAGACAACCTTTAGCGCCGACAAACACCTCACAACCCGATCTGCTCGTCGTGCTGCGCGGCGCCTGGGACGGTGCAACACCTCATCACGGCCTGCCCGTTTTCTCTGCAGGTCTGGTCAAGAACGGCGCAATCCCTGGGAAGCCCGTTCAATCCCTGGGAAGCCCATTCTTGGACCTGGCGATGCCCACTAGTACTCGCCTACGAACGCCCTTTAGAAGCCCGGGCGATGCCCACTAGTACTCACCTACAAACGCCCTTTAGAAACCAGACATGATCGCTCCCGCATGTTAACAGGGCTACTTGGAGGCCCACCTGCCTGTTGGTCTCTTGGTGCATCTGGAGGCTAAATTTCATGTTTCGACATTTTTCTGAAACCTATTCGAGTTTAAGGTCTAACCTTAATTTGAATTATTGGCTAAATTTCATGTTTCGACATTTTTCTGAAACCTATTCGAGTTTAAGATCTAACCCTAATTTGAATTATTTTTTTCAGGATCTAACCCTTTTGCTACCGTCAGGGTCCATGACGGTAGGGTATAACAGCACCAAGAGGTAAGGTTGCATACCCTACCACAAAATCTTCCTAAGTATTGAACACAGTGTCGAGCACCTTCAATGAAAGAGTATGAAAGAGTGGAACGATCGGATCTTCAATGCAAGAGCCAGCACAGCGTCCCTAAGTGCACTCCACAATCATAGACGAGGCCAGAGTGTGGGTACAGGCGGGTCTAGCCCCATGGCCAGCATTTTTAAACCACCTTGAGTTGTGATCTTCGCCAGTGTTTATAGCGAGGCTGCTGGCGCCTTGCATGGATTCTTTCTTCTTTTCCTTCCAGTTCCCTGTAACTGTTCTCTTCTACCACTTCATCAATGAGAATCAGCAATCTGCTGCTTTTTCTTCAAAAAAACTAACCATCGGAAAGAAACTTCGATGTGCATGTGCTGCGGCTTGAAGATGCAGTGATATGCTCAGCAATCAGCATACAGTTAAGATAAATAAGGTCAGCGGCATATTGGCTTTGCATTAACATTCAGACAGGATAGTTATCCAAACTTCACAACGAAGCAACTGTAGCAAAACATTAGGTACTGTAATTCAGAACAACCGGTGCAAATGTCTGAAGTTCTGAACTCTAAACCGAATCATCACAAAGTTCAGTCACGACTAAGCCAAAGCATACTGCAGCGATAACTACTTACACCAGGTGCTGGCTCTTATTGACACAAGAGGGGCATCACTCTTCCCTTCTTAGGCAGATGCAGAACCCATGAGGGCCACTATCTTGGTATGGATATCATCCTTCCTGCCACCGACAACAGTGTCCACCTTCGCACCATCCTTGATAAACAGGAAGGTCGGCATTGCCTCAACGTTGTATGCTTCAGCGACGTCCTGTTGAACAAGCAAATGAAGGGCATTATTTCACTCTCACTAAGGAGACATATTTTGGAGGATCATGGAGCTATGCTTACCTTCAGCTCGTCAACGTCCACCTTCAGGAAAATGGCGCCAGGGAACTTCTTGGCGTACTCAGCAAAGACTGGGGCTATGACACGACAAGGACCGCACCAGGAAGCAGTGAAGTCAATGATCACCTGAAGAGCAAGGAAGTACATAAAATTCACAGTGAGTGAGGTCACATGAACATGAAAGGAATAGTGACACAGCCACTGCCAAGTACTAAGCTTGTAACAAGGACTAAGGTTACAAAACCAACAGTATCCTTGACTATTTTAGGAGAGTACGTAGTACGTACATTGTTTCGTTCATTCCGATTCCTCCCCACCCTCCCACGATGCTCCCACACGCTAAAAAAATGCACCCTCACAGGGAAAAAAATCCAGAAAACTGGTCACCCCTATTCCCAATGTTGTTCATTAACCCCTCGTGCGCCTCATCTCACTCACTCTGAAACCCATCCCCAGCTCCCCATACCACCTCTCCGCTTCCAAGGTCAATGAAGGGCACCGCCGTCAAGAACACCTGGCATGGACCAGGTCTTTCACTGCTAAATAGATGGATGAATTGAGTGAGATGAGGTCTGGACTTGGACTTGGTCGCTGCTAAATAGATGGATGGATTGAGTAGTGTAACTGATGTTTCAAGTTCCTTTTCTTTTCTTGCACGGGTTGCAGGACATGGTGCACAAGAAGTGCATGTGCCTCATCTTAACTATCTGGACCTCAACCACAATCTTTAGAGCGCCTTTCAAATTCTATATTTCCGTCTGTATGAAGTTTATGTAGCGCTGCTTGTTGCAAGATATGGCATAATAATTTTTCAGAAATAATGCAAGTGCAAGTTTGTGACTCAACAATGCATCCTAACTGCTTGCCTTCAATGCTATTGATTTGCTCATTTTTTGAGGCAGGTCCACAAGCAATTGTAAGGAGGTGCGATGGACTTTTGAAGTGTCAACAATACTGAGTAAAGGCGGATGAAGACAATGGTGGAGGGGGTGGGGGGATGCCATTTTGTCTTTTCGGGTGGTTATAAGAAATATGATAGTTGCCTAAGAAACAAGCGGGAGCAATATTTGCCATAATGAAACTGGAAAGGTATTATGTTAATCACAGTTTTGAAATAAAACAATTGTTTGAATATGGTAACTGGCAGAGCCAGATTCTGTGGCAACCCCCAACAGAAAATGTTCAGGGTTGATTCAACAGACCTGAATTCTATTACCGTTTCAACACGTTATCTCGGTAAGCATTAAAAAGGACCTGAATTTCATAATATTTTAACATTGGCTCCAAAAGTTGCCAAATTTTATCTAAGTTCGCCTACAACACAACCGAATTTTAAGCAATTTCAACATCACCTCCAAATAATGCCAAAATATATCTCGGGTCGCCTTGAAAGCATGTGTGCTCAAAAAGATAACTAACGGTGATTTCAAATACAGTAAGCTGTACCATTTACACATTGCTTCAATCTGTTCCAAGGTTTTTGACCAAATTAGGATATCAAGATCTCAATTCTCCAGTAAGTTATGCCAAAGTCAAAAGTTGAATGCACATGTTTGCCACAGATTATGATCAATCATGCATAACTAAGGCATCAGCCCTCACCTGGTAATCCTGAACAAATATTAACCAAAGGTACCACCCATGGCCAAATCGCTAAAATCACGCACCTTAGGATAACTAAGGGTGATTTCAAGTACAGTAAGCTGTACCATTTACACATTGCAAAATCAACAGGCAATCTGTTCAGAGTTTTTGACCAAATTAGGATATCAAGATCTCAATCCTCTCAAAAGTTGAATGAACAATTTTTGACCAAATTAGGATATCAACCCTCACCTGGTTATCCTGAACAACTTAACCACAGATTAAGACCAACCATACGTAACACCTGACAGTAAACCTAAACAAACATTAACCAAAGGTTCAAAAACTCCCTCTCCCTCTCTCATCAGCCATTTACTAAAATCATGCACCTTAGGGGCATCACACAGAGAAAAAATTAGTAGTAATACTAAGCTACAGATCGTTACTGTGCAATCCAGGTTCCGAATTGGGCGACAAAAGTATGAGATCTGAACAAGTCGGAAAATCATCCACCCTAATCGTCCAAAACGCAATTCCGCCGCACGCCCGCACAGATTGATGTCAAGTTTCTCAACATCGCGTTACTACTACGACGAACCGGAGATGACCTAGACCCCACAAACACCTAAAATTTACGGGAAAAAAGGGAGAAAGAGGAGGATTGGGACGGGGATCGGGAATCGCATTCGCGTACCAGCTTGCCGGTCTCCTTGCCATTAGCCATGTGGGTGTCGAACTCTTGCTTGGTGTGGCACGCTATCACGGCTCCCTCCTCGGCGGCCATCCCCCTTCCCCGGTGATGAGATCGAAGGTGATTTTGGTGCGTGCGCGCGTGAAGAAGGTTTTCTGTTGTCTTTGGGGTGAGAGAGATCTGCGAGATTGATGGCACAGGTGGAGGCGTATTTATAGAACAGAATTTGACGTGAAATGACTGGGGTGCCCTTAGGGTCAGGGGTGTCATGTTCCACGCACCGACCGCGGACCGCTAGACCAAGACGTCACGACGCTCGTCTCCGGCCGCCTGCTGCTGCTGGTTGATCGCAGACGCGTTCTTCTCGAATGTTCCCGTCGATTTTGCTCGTCCCGGATGGGCCACGCGGCTAAGCAATTGATTCTACTTTTTCTGGGTTTTTTTTTCTATATCTTTATCTTTACCTAATATTAAAATATAAAAGTTTTCATAGTTTTCTATACGGCGTCCCTTTAGATCCATTGATTTTATGTTAACCATAAATATTTGACAGCTGAGATTAAAAATAGATAGATCTATAGAAATTTTATTTCAGGAAAATAACAGCTCGGAGGAAGAGGCCTACGTACGCTGCACGTGTACTGCCCAAAAACCTATACGTAAGAGTCAGATTTCAGACGGAATCATGGCCTGGCCCACTAAAAATGTCTCCTGCTCTCGATCAATATAAATATGCAGAGCCTCTGCCGCTACGCTACGATAGATCCACACGCACGCACACCCCGACACCGGTCGCCTGCTGCGGAGGGAGGAGCCCTGCGGGTTGAGGGAAGCGGGAGGGAGAGCCCTGGCAGGAAGTGTGGGAGGAGGTGGTCGCCTCGATATGTGCCTCGAGCGGCGAGGACATGCAGATCATGGGTTCCCATGGGACGAGGAGCTGGTCGTCTGTAAGTCTGGGAGGTGGGGGGTCGAGGGGTGCTTGGTCAACTCAACGCTATGTGCGACGACGACCTCATGCTCATCCACCTACCTTTCTCTCATTAAGGCCAGAGCAAGATCCAGATCGTCGAGGACATTGAGCAAGATCCTTTTTATCCGTCTGGAAACCCGAACAGGGAGTCAGTGCAACTCATCCAATGTTATTGTGCCGACGAGATCAAATACTTCTTTGCACCATGGCTCATTCAATCATTCAAACAGATAATGTGCATGCCCGTGTGTAACCAAAGAGCGGCCCTTGTCTAAATTTTGCATGAGGAGTTTTGCTACTGCAAGGGATTTCTTCAGAAGTCAGACCCGTCGATGGGGGGTGCAAGGTGGGCGATGGCACAGGCCCCCAAATTCATAGGGGCCCCACCATGAGAAAAAACAATGAAGGTCGCCCTGATTTTTGATCTGCAGGCTGGCTGGTTCGCTGCTATGCATGCGGTCAAGTCCTGACCTGCGGGGCTTATTAGACGGGCTGGCATCTGTAGTGGATGGGCCCCAAAGTGCTAATGGTTGGATGCCCTGTTGTTGATCACGGTGTTGAGGGATTGCACGCATGATGCCGTGATTAACTCCTGTCCTGCCACCGACTGGAGAAGTTGATCTACCATTGCCATGCTCGAGGAGATGCACAAGTCCATCCACCACATGAATGGCCACTATCAAGATTCAAGCAGACTGTCCTCTGGCTCTACTTCTTCAATGTTCAAGGTACACCACGTATGAGGCATCCATGTCTATCAATTAAGCACGACTTACCAATCAAGCATGTGTATGCAAAAGGTAACCACGAGACTGAATTGGGGCTTCTAATCTTAGGTCATTGGCGAGAGCCTGTAAAATTCACGACGGATGACATCATCGGCATCGTCCACCAGATTCTCAGCTTCATTAACGTCAATTACAGTACATGTTATGGTCTATCCCTTTACTCTACATTGAGCTTTTGTTTGATGATCTCGAATCTATTGATTTCAAATTATATATGTTCATCCAATCATCCACCACACAGGAGAAGTTGCACCCTCACACCTCACCATGTCTATCTCCCTCCGAAGTCCTAGGCTATAGCAGTAACAAGCAGTGCTTCTCCTCCAGAAGTTGATCCACATAGACATGATCATTTGATTCGTTGCTCCTCCCCCAAATCAATATACATGTGGTACCACATCTACTCGAGCGAGGATGGGGAGTCGTGAGAGGTACGCACGAAGAAGCTAGGTAGTTGGAGCCGAACTAACAAAGGAGAAAATCGGACGTAGACGTGTTGCGTGCAAGAAACAATGGAGTCGTGAGAGGTACGCATTAAGAAGCTAAGCAGTTGGAGTCGAACTAACAAAGGAGAAAATCAGATGTAGACGTGCTGTGTGCAAGAAACGATTCTTCTTTAAATATCAGCCGTCAATCTTTGTGGTTTTAGTTCTGTCGATTTTCTTACGAAAATTAGGTCCCACTTTGTCTTTCGCACCGGGGGCTGCCCTGTTCAGAACGGTCGTCATGGGTGTTCATCTAAGGATTTCGGTAGGACCATCTACATTGGACAGTATGTACAAATACAGATAAAAATTATATTAAGATGTGTGTCTTATCATATAGTTCTACCACTAGATCCATGAATTTGTTTACGGATCATTTACATTTGGCAAGTTCTTATTGATAGTCCATTTTTGGCCATGACTATGAATACTTAGGAAGACACAACATACATAATTCACTTTTGTTATTGTCCAATTCTATTTTATGACACTTTTCTACAAAAAATGCTTTGCCATTAATTTTTTCTCCCTGCTGATTTATTTCTCCCTTGGCATCCATCAACCATCACTGCCCCGCGACCTGACATGCTTTCCCAAATGAATAACAAACATCTGCCATGAATGCACGGCAAAATTATGTTCCATTCAATGCCACCAGAGTATCTTCAATATGTGAACAACAAACTAGAATTTTATTCCTTGGAATCACATGAAGGGTTGTTCGAATAGGTTAGTGTCGAATAATTTTTTTCCTAAGAAATATAGTGCAAAAGAATTTGTAGATTGTTTCTCTATAGTGTTGATTCACTCATACAAATAAAGCATCCACATAGAAGAAAATCGTACGGAATCAAAGAGAAAATATTTAGGATCAAAGAGACCCTAAGGTGGAATAAGAAGACCATCTTGGCCATAATGATTAGTGAAATTGATTGATGTTTTTTATTAGCAATTCGACATCAAGGTGTAATAGGAAATTGGTCGAATATTTAGTAGTCTTGGAGGGGATGGGGTGCACAATGGTGTTAGTGGACTTTTGAGTTTCTTAATATTTTTTTCACCCGTTGATGAGGACATCAATACCATTGTTACACCCATAGCCCCTACTGTTACATATACTGGACCAATTACTAGAGCTCGCGCACGCCAATTAAATTACCAGGTACTTTCGTTTCTTGGTAATGATTCTAATGTTCATGAGATTATGATGCTGCCTAAATTGGATACATTTGTTTTGCTTACAAATGAAGGGCCTAGCTTGGAGAAGGATGAACATTGGAGCAAGAACACGCATGGAGTTGATGGCATGCGCAAGGGGATCAAGAACGGAGTTACAAGTGATGATTTCAGGACTTTGAAGCCGCCATAAGGAGTGCATGAAGCCTTGGACAAAATATACAAGATGCCACTTCATAATATTCGTCCATAGGCTATTCTAGGTGCTGCGTCACCTTATTAATGGGCCAGGCCCATGTAATTTCGAAATACTTAAGTATAGGCTATTTTTAGAGTCCGTATGTGTGGGGAACAAGAGTTAGGGTTGGTTTCGGACCCCACCCTCAAGGGCCACGAAATTCCCCCCTCTTCCTCCATATATACAGCCCTTAGGGCGTCGTTTAGACTTTGGGTTTTGTTTAGATTAAAAGTTCGTCATAGCTGCAACTTCGCGTACTTCGTTTGTGTCCAACGACCAGACCAAGACGTCACAGAACCCCACCTTGATCAATAAAGCTTTCATCTTATATTTGCAATATCCCGATTGCAATCTTAGTTTCTTGCTTGTTCTTCGTTTGCTCGCAGGAAACAGACCCTCGTGGTCAGGTTGATCGTGCTCCGGCGTGGTCAATAACCCTCGGAAGTTGGTTTAGCGATTGCTAAGGCGCGACGTCTCGCACGTTCGTAGTCGGATCGTCAAGGTCGACTCCCACAGAAAACGATAGCCACCATCTCATCGAAACATCGGGACACCTTAGCCTCTATCAAGTGGTATCAGATTTCCAGGTTGCTCGGTGAGATTTTACAGTTTTTCATAGATTAGATCGAGTCTGTTCTTCATACCTACAGTCCACGAAAAAGCCAGAAAAAAAATTAGGGTTAGTTCATCATATCCGAACCAATCTGAGCCTTTGCATAATCTTTTTAGGGTTTTTGCTTTGTTGAATTTGCGGTTGCATCGTCGTGTCAAGTTGCTGGTCTTAGAGTCTAGTCTTTTAGAGTTTCGAGTTCTGGTCATAAGTTGTCACGCCGCCGCCGCACCATCATCATCGCCCATCTACCACTTTTGCTTATCCGCCACCGCTCTGAATCCATATCCATATACCACCACCAATCCGTATCCATATACCACCACCAATCTGTATCCATATACCACCACCGCTACCATATACCACCACCGCTGTCATATACCACAACCATATATCCACCACCAATCCGAGTTCTTCTCATATTAGGTTTGTTCTTGAGATCAATCTAAATTCCGTTTCATATTTCCTTGCCTGCGTAGGTCTCGAAAAAAAAAAGAGTTTGGAGACCCCCGGGCAGTTTTTAGGCCAAAAATTTCACGGGCAAATTTTTTTCCCTATCCTATTTTTAGGCTTTTCTGAGTCTTTTGAGCCACGTGCCATCATAGTGATTTTTTGTCGCACTTTCTCGTCGTCGCTGCCCTGATTTCCGAAAAAAAAGTGAAAAAAAAATATTTGTGCCCATCCTATCAGTTTGACGAGGGAAGAGTTTTGAGACACTCGCCATTATAGTGATTTTTCGCAAAAAAAAGAGGAGCGCAAAAAAAAGGAGAGCAAAAAAAAAGAGCGAAAAAAAAGAGTTCCAGAGTGTGCTTTTCCCTTATTTACG